AAATATTTTGGGACCTAAGTGTAATTTTAAAATTTTCAAAAATTTCTTAAACTTACCCCACTGAAATTTTCTTAAAATATAGAGTATACTAATATAATTTTAAACCTTTGAAAGCTAACTTTTGACATCTCTTTTTCACGCCTGTTTTTTTTTTTTCCTTAAGCCTTCGTCTTTTTTGTCCAGACTTCCATTCCAGTCCAGACATCCACCCGACAACCCCTCTTATTTCTTTTATTTAGTTTCTTTGTTAGTTCTTTTGCTATATTCATCAATAAATCACCCTATTTGATTCAATCATTGTGCAAATCAAATTTGAAGAAACCCTAGAAGATTATGTTGAAGTTAAGGAGAGATAATTCATTAATCAAATTTTTTGATAGTAGTATTAACACTAATCTAAAATCAGATTTTTTATATTAGAAAATTAGTTTAACTCTTGTAGAATTGATGGTTGTTTGATGTGTTATTTATGGACTCATGCAGGTTTTTTTTTGGTTTCATCTTGGGTCACCACTCAACTATTTTGAATTTTTATTAAAGCATATTTTCAGATTTACTATCTGAGATTCTTGGTTAGTGCTATTTTTCTTCCCTAAGATTAAATTGCTTTAATTTATTTTTTGAAATTATAGTTTGGATTTATGGATTATATTTTGATTATGTGTAATCTATTATCTCATTTGTTACGAATTTAATGACAAACTCTTAAACTTGAATCTAATTAGACAAATTTATTTTTCAATCAGCTATGAATAAGTTGCCCACAATGAGACAAGATCCTGTCTCCGCCCCTGTCGACACACATGACATAGTTCGACCAATCATCTCATGCGAAAAAAGTCCATAAGAGAAATTTGACACGTAAGTGTTTCATTAATTGGTATTTAAATAAACAACACATTAAATGTCACTAGCTTAACACATATTGCAGGGTTGATTTTGGTATATACATTTGCTACATTATGAAAAAAATTGCAAAAGGAGAGGAAATATAAGAGAAGTTAACACACAAACAAGCAAAAGACTTTCAAAGAGAAATGTTGTCAATGTTCCTGAATCAACGAAATTCCTGGATAGAAGATGATTTCAAACAACAAGAATTGAAAGGCAAATTTCAAGACAAATGATTGTTTATTCAAACTATAATTGGGCATATACAAAGTAAATGTGATTAGTGAATCATGAATATAATGTTTAATTTTATTTACATTCGATCTTGTTATCCTTGATGATAATTTAATACACTCATTTAAATACAGGGTGTACCATTGTGACATTGAGACTGTAATACTGTGACATTACACTAGACCACTGTGACATTGGGGCTATACCACTGTGACAATGAGGTTGTACCATTGTGACACTGGGGTTGTACCACTATGACATTGGGCTGCACCATCTATGTCACAATGGTTATAAAAATACATATACATGGGTGTGCCACTGTGGGTGTTATAACATGACATCAATGTCTACTGTATACACATAACATATGCAGGTTTTGACACATGAAATTGTGACCAGGTGAGTGACACAATGTGTGCATCACAATATGGCAGCATTGTCACATTGTATATAGACACAATATGTAGAGTTTTTCACATGGATAGACTCACACTGGTATTCCAATGTCCCATTGCATATACACTTTATATAAAGATTCAAACACACACTGTGATTATCATAGTGTGAAATCCACTGTATGGTGTTTGGAAATGGAGTGTGACATTGGTGTCACATTGCTTGTAAAAATACATAACCAAATGTAACACTGCATAAACAAATAAGTATGCAAGATTTGATTGATTATATCATCACATTGTGAATTGAAAGTAATGTTATCAGAACCGGACCGGTCATCGAACTGGTTAGGAGACTGAGTCAATGGTTCACTTGTTCAACTAGTCGAACCGGTCATATATAATAATTATAAAATATAATAATTTAGCTAAAAATATAAAATATGTTTAAAATACATACAATTTGTCATAAAATTAATGAATTTAAGTGAAAGAAACACCTATGCCAAATATCAAAGTTGAATTTTAAAGCTCCAATCTAAGTACATAACAGAAAAATCACTTCAAGTCCAAACCCCAAACCAGAGTCCCTACTGAAGTTAAAAGTTTATATAAGAACACATCATCACAAATAGACAATAACTATTCCCTTGTGAATCCTTATTTAACAGACGAACAATGATAAAAGTATCCAAATTGAAAATAAGAAGTATGATAAAAGTATCCAAACACAAATACCCTAAGTCTTGTATTACTTTATTTAACTAAGCGAAAATCTAATTCATTTAACTCAATCAGTTCCCACGGTTGCAATTTAAACAACATGAATGAAGTGTTTTGCCAAACAATTATAAACTTGTAGGCTGTAACAAACTCCAACAACCAACCATTCGATGAGACCCAATCAATATATGGAAAAAACAACTTGAAAGAAACTCAATTGAATATTTTATGACTACCCATTAGCTATGGAACATCAATGATCCCTTATGACTGCAGTTCGATAAACAACCAAATTAGCACTAAAGATCAAAATGCAACTTTAAAGTTTAAACAGAAACAACATAATCACAAACAGAGATCATTAATATGGACTATTAACATATCAAGAACACAATTAGTAATTCGAAATCAAATTTCTATCATAACAATAATTAACAAATAACCTTAATAAAAAACATGAACTATTTCTCCAAATCAAACTACTCTATAAACCATGACTTTAAATGAAAATCACATAGCCCAAAAAAACTTAATATCAAATTTAAAATCTTTCTAGATTAAACCCAAATTAAGAAAATCTTGCCTGAGTTTGCTGGTCGATGATCGCAGTGGCTGGTTGATCGTAGTGGCTAATCGATCGCAGTCACCTGAGTTCGCTAGAGTCACCTGGCTGCTGGCCTCTGATCGGTGATCGCAGTCGCCTAGTCGCTGGAGCCTTGGTGGTGGTCGTTGGAGCCTGGTCGCAGTCGCTTGGATTGCAGTTCTGCGATTTAGGGCAATAAAAGATCTAGAAGCTTGAGATTTTAATTTTATGTAATTTAATTTTTGATTTGGCATTAAACCGTCTAATTTTTATAAAATTCGCCGGTTCACAGTTTTTTACAAACCGACTGATTTTTTGATTTTTCGTCAGTTCTCTTCCTTAAGCGATCTAACTATGGAACCTGACCGGTTAAGGTCCTGGTTCACGGTTGAACCAGTCGGACTGGCAGGTTCGATTTTGATAACGTTGATTGAAAGTCACACTGCATGTACACATGCAACTTGTGGTTTGACAAAGTGTGTTGTCACAGTGTTACTCTAACATTGCGATAACACTACTTCATTTATCGCATAGTGGCAGACATGTTAATAGTCTGACATCAAATGTCGAAAAACCAATTTCTTTATTTCTTTGACACAAATCATACAATTTATCAATGAAAACTAAATTTTAAAAACCACCAACGACAAATGTCATTAAGATCTCAAACAAAAAGAGCACAATGGTGCATTACAGTTTTTCTTGTTCTGGCTACCCATACGCCCATAACGACCACATCGAATTTATCGAATGAGTTCACCCCTTGACCTGATTCTACGCTTTTTCGGACATCCAGGTTGAGTCTTAGATGATGGCAACAATATATGAACTGTTTCATGCGAAACATCTGGACGATCAAGTGTCGGAATTGGGTAAATTATATCCACATATGACTTCCTATATGTGCTCGAAGAACTTTCTCGTTATTTCGACTATAGCGAGGTAGCAAATCATCATCTTGATTATGCACGTCTTTAAGTAAATTATTGTGAACATTAATGTGTAACTCATCATTAAGGAGAAATATCCTCACAACAATATGGTTGATGTTAAGAGAACGTAACATTTCAAACAGTCTTCATGTATTCGTCATTTTTCAAAATACAATTTGGAAGGTCAGGAATTGAATATGACAAACCTATTGGCAAATTCCGTAATAACTCCCATGTATCATACACTTGACTTACAACATTTTCAAACAGTGAAGGCCTATAAACTTGGATCACTGACCATTTGTTACCAAATCGGCATAAAAACAAAATCGTATACTCCACTGAAATTCCTGGCAAAAGGAAATTTCAAAAAATCATAACAACGTAACAAGAGATACAATGAAAGTATGCAACAGCACCCCAACAAGAAAACACACTCCCAAAATTGCAACTCATATACACACTCAAAAACAGAACCCATGCAAAAAAATAAACACCAAAACACCCTATTGTATTAAAGGTGAAAACAACGATTCCTCATTACAATTTAAAAAAAAATTCAACAAAAAAATTTGTTCAAAAATAAAAAAAACTATCCAGGACATACCTGATGTTCTTTATCTACTACAACAACATAGATACTTTTGAGTTATCCCTAAACCAACAATCTAATGAATATTTTGTTATTGTCTTTTCTAATTGGATAACATGAAAATCAAACAGGAATCGATTATGGGTACTGATGAGAGATCAAAAGTTGTTTACGACGTGAATAACAAAGTAACCGCTGAATAAAAGGAGTGGTGTTTGCAGAATTTTCAGTCGTTGAAATGAAATAGAAAGGTGTAATTCAAAATTCAGAAGTGGTGTTCCAAAAAACATAGAAAATTGAATCTCACAATTAACTACCTAAATTATCTTCCATAAATAAAGGAAAAGAGATTTTATGTAAATGAATATCTTAAAAAAAGCCAAAGTTTATCTGTTCACAAAACATTTATACAAAAAAAATTTATACACAGAAAATATATATTGAAGTATTTTCTCACAATTTGCCCTTTTTTGAACAGAATCTAGGGCCTCGCTCGATGGGCAGCCCATTGAAGACATGGTTTTCCGGCCACTCAATAGCCCACCATGGACGTTGACCCGGTCCGACCCGTTTCTAGCACCTTGCTTTGCCCTAACGAAATAAAGCATGGGTACACAAACCCTAGCCTGCCTCTCCCTATCTCTCTGGTGTCAGCAGGCGCGGCGTTGAGCAGCAGCAGCAGCAGCAATGGTACTTTCGCCGATGAACCTTACAACGCCTTCACCATTTCTTTCTCTAGCTCTCATTCGATCATAAACTGTTGTTTGGTAATTTTCATATGATAGGGTATCGATCTGGTCGCCGGAGGTAAGGTCAAGAAGACGAAACGAACTGCTCCCAAATCTGATGATATTTACCTCAAGCTCCTTGTCAAGGTCTTTCCCACCTCCATTTCTTTCTCTTCCCACATCTATGTACATCTTTTTTTTTGTTTGTATGTTTAGTGGTCTGTATACTCGGCAGTGATTTGAAGATTGTGGTGTTTGTTTGTGTGATCAGTTGTACCGGTTTCTCGTTCGGAGAACTGGAGGAAGCAAGTTCAATGCTGTGATATTGAAGCGGCTCTTCATGAGCAAGATCAACAAGCCCGCCCTCTCTGTGTCCCGCTTGATTCGTTTCATGCAGGCAAAGGTAACCTGTTCTCTCTGTGTATGTGTGTGTGTATATATATACACACACATATAATTTATTTGTTTAGAAAAGAGAACAACGGAAAATAGTACCAGAGGAATGCAGCAATATCTCTATTGTGTGGTGTTATCAATTTTTAAAAAATTGGAGAATCTCATCTAAAGTAAACTTGAGCCAGTTGTAATGGGGAAATTAGTTGATTATTGACCTCTTTGGTTGCATAAATGATGAAAATCGATTTTTTATCTTGATGTGGGAGAGACTCTCGAGGAAAGGGAAATGGCATCCATATTTAAAAATATTTGCTTAGTTTTACAATGAATTAAGACTTCTTATTTTAGCCTTTTGTGTCCGGTAATTTAGTTTGAATTGATTTGTTAGTTCATTGTCAAACAGGAGGACAAGATTGCGGTTGTTGTTGGGACAGTCACAGATGATATTCGAGTCTATGAAGTTCCGCCTCTGAAGGTCACAGCTCTAA